AAAAAGATGACAGAGGTATAGGCTGTTCACTGGTTCCTCTTTTACTTAATGATCAGTATCTTAGAGTCATGATGGACCAGAGTCTGGCTTTTTTGCTTTGTTGTCAAAGGAGTAGTTCTATCATAACCAGAATAACTGACGTGCGTCAAATAACATGGTCTGGGGTGCTGTGCATTAAGAGGACTCTTTTCCCTGTATTAGGAAGAAGAGATGAAAATTGGCACGTCTTTGCTCTTTGACTTCATCATATATGTTCCCACATATAAGTAGTTTCTCATCTGAAACTGTACAAGGTTACAGTTTAGTAGACGCTAATATACCTTCTTGGCCTTCTAGATTTGAATAGGATGGATGTAGAGTCCTAGTTTTTGTTCATTTAATGTTGATTTTTTTTTTAAATGTAAGTTTCAATTGCTAATCCAACCTGCATAATTTGGAACTACTTTGGACAATTTCTTTAAGCTTACTGCCATTTTCAGGAGCAGCTTGCAAGGGATCATGTGCTATGAAGTCCTAACTAGTAGTACTCCAAAAAGGTTCATCATTCTAAAAATCTACTTTTTTACTCCTAGAATAAGATTGAATGGTTCAGAATATATAAAATTCTAACTACTGTAAACATGTTTGCCACTTGATTTTTTTTATGGGGTGTTTGTGTGTATTTTTTTCCCCCAAAGGCATTCATATTCACCTAGAACTCTTTTCACCTGGGTATATGCCTATGACATGCTTGCTTACTTTTGCTACTCAAATGTCACCTAATCAGAGAAACCTTCTCTGATCACCCTGTATGAAAATAAAACACACCTGCTCCCTTCCCTGTTCAATTTAACTACTTTGTTTTTCTCTAAGTTTAGCTTCTTTCTCTTTTGGAGTATGTGGCTCCTTGGGTCAGCAACATCACCTATAGAGCATTTTTTAAAGTACATACATGACAACCTTAACCCACACCTACTGAAATGCTTTCAGTTATAAATGGCTATGGGAGGGTGGTGCAGTGGTGATCCTGGGATCTGGGTTTATGCCAAACATTTCGTTGTCAACCTCCTCAAGAAGGTTTCTCCCTTTGTTTCATTACTGAATCCCTCTCTTGGTTCTTTCAAGTCAGAAATTGGCTCATAATTTCACCCAGTGATCATACTGTTTCACAAGAAATTCTCTAACCCTCTCTTCGGTATGACAGCCCTTAGAGCTATTTGAAAGCATCTCTCGGTGTTCCCCTCATTTATTCCCTCTCTTTTAAAGGAAAATTACTAACTCTAATTCTAGTTCCTAAAATGCATTTTGGAAATTCAACATTGATTGTCTAGTATATGCTAGATGCTTTCCTTTTTTATTTTAAACCTGTTCTATGAACAAGTGAACTGAAATTCACATAGGTTGTTTTGTACTTCCAAATCACTCTACCAGTGTCAGAATTAGTATTTCAACCCCAGTGTTGTGATTCTCTTTTACTACTTGGTGAAGGATTTCCTTGGTTTATAAGGAACTTATGAGTGGAATCATTCTTTTACAGTAATGTCTTCTTTAAATGTTTGGTTTTAGTGTATTTCAGAATGGAGACTATAACTGGAGTGTTTATTGGGTAATGATCCCAGGGAAGCTTATGTCAAAGTTATGCATTAAATGAAGGTTCACATCAATTACTTAAATAACTTACTTAGGTAATTATTTCGGTGACCAAAAATAGATTATTTTTTAAAGTGACCAAATCGTTGAAAGTTAATTCAGTCACAAACTGACATTGAACTCCTTTGCTCATCCAACTGGAAAACAAAAATAAAATTGATTTTCTTTCACATCAAAAAAAAAAAAATTACTAAGGAAGAGTTTGCAGACATTCTAACAAAAACTATATTAGTAGAAAAAAACTAAAAGTATGATATGCATCACAAATTTGAGTGTTATTCTTACACAGGGCCATGCTAATCTTCTCTGTATCATTCCAGTTTTAATATATGTGCTGTGGAAGTGAGCATCAAAACTACTTTAATGATGATAAGTATAAGTAGCTATAGTTGGTAAGGTTATCTTTAAAATATTTTATTACATGCAACATTTTACTGTATTTCTTTATAACTGAGTAAGAACACAGTGAAGAAGAGGGCATATCAGGTGAACGGAGTCACATTTTCAGGTGAACATTGCCTTTGTTTATAATTATAAGCTTAAAATTCTCTGTCAGAAGTGGTTAACACAGTATTAAGGTAGGAGTTGAAAAAGTTATCAGTGGTCGGAACCAGAAGTTTTCATACTTTAGTTCTCATACTTTAGTTGGCATAAATATCAAGTGTGGGTTTTAGGAATCAGAGTCCTCCTCTGAAGGGAGTCTCAAATTCATTGGACTTGATGGAAAACAGAAATCTGACTTTTCCATGTGCATCCCAGAAGACTGGGAAACAACCCTTGGAGGACATTTTAATTAAAAAAAAAAAAAATTGGAAAAATACTGCCACTCTTTACGTAAAGACAAAAGCATCATATAAGGCTCACTCTTTCCTGTCTTCTCATCATCTGCCCTACCTCATCTGTATTAATTCTTAAAGGTAAAGAATAAAAAAGTTAAATTTTTAGAAGTGGTACTTGCAGAGAATTCTAAGGTATGAAAATTTCAGGCATCAGTCTGAAAGTGAAATTAACATGCTATCTTATTAGCATGTCTTCTATTAATAAATTGAGAACATAAAAGAATGTGACTGTGAGCCCAAATAGTAATGGTTTTAAATAAGTTTGAAATCAGGAGAAATGAATTATTTGCTCTTCTGAGTTGTCATACTATGACTCTCTTTTCCATGGTATATAATTATTTATGTTTTTACCTTCCCACCACTTACAGGTTTGATATAAGCAAGTAATAGCTGCAAGTAATAGCTATGATGTGAATGGATAGAAAAAATATGAATCATTTTAATTGCTAAATTAAGTGAGCATGTAGGCAGTATTTCCTAATTTTATTTTAAAAGAACTATTTTCATTGTATTGATAGTCTTTAAGAACTTTATTTATAGAGTCATTTTCTTCTTTAGTCAAATAACAATAGTGTCAAAGAAATGGTAGAGATCGCTTTTTTAGAAACTTAAGTATCTAAGGGCGCCTGGGTGGCTCAGTCGTTGAGTGTCTGCCTTTGGCTCAGGTCATGATCCCAGTCATGATCCCAAGGCCCTGGGATCAAGCACTGCATTGGGCTTCCTGCTCAGCGGGAAGCCTGCTTCTTCCTCACCCACTCCCCCTGCTTGTGTTCCCTCTCTCGCAGTCTCTCTCTCTCTCTCTCTCTCTGTCTCTCTGTCAGATAAATAAAATCTTTTTTAAAAAAAGTTTAAATGTCTATTACTTCCCAAACCAATTATGTTAGGTGTTAAAAATGAAGAGATAGCATCGTTTAAAGAGCTTTTTTAATTTTGTGGTAAAAACGTGGATGTTTAAGAAAAGAGATACAAAGTGCTATAGCTAAACCGCTGAAATGGCATTCTTTCCGCTATTATGGGTGCAACATTGTTAAATTTTAGACCAGTAGTGGTTCACATTAAAAAAACACTGTATCCACATTAAAAAACACTGTATCCTTTCAAAAACATTTGGCAGTAAGGTTCCTTAACAAGATGCCTTAAATTCCATTTGAATAGACAGTATTGTCAACTTCGCTTTGAACCTAGATTATTTGGATCTGTGCTTGGTATATGGGCAGTGCCTTTCAGGAAACATTAAAAGTTCTAATGCGTTTGAGTTCTTGGGCTATATAGTAGCTTCATGTTAGTGCTCAAATTATGAGGAAAATTTTCTTTGCAACAACAAACTTATCTCTGAAATACCAGTGTAACCAAACCTGATGTAATTACATTTTTATATATACATGAAAATCTAATTCATTAGAAGAGTTAGCCGTAAGCCCTGTTCTAAAGCCAGCCAAATTTATTATAGGATTTACCTTTTCATTATTGAATCTTGAGATGCAACTGGCTTGTTATAATAAAGCACTTATTTATCCTGGTTGCATATTAAAATGGTCACAGAATTAAAATAAAGAGGAGGCGTTCAGTACATTAAAGATCTTGGTTTAATTGATGTGGAGTAGAGAGCCTGGGTGTCGTGTCGTGTCGTCATCCCGTGTCCCCCCCCCCCCCCCCCGTGATATGTATAGCCAGGGATGATGTGATTACTACTACTTTAAGGCATTGGTTTTCAAACAACTTTTGGTTTGGAGTTAAGGGAACAACCTGGACTTTTCTCTTTCACAGAGTTTTGTGGCAGAAATTTGAACCACTCTGTATTTAAAAAAACAAAAATCCTGCTCACTGCCTAATCTATCTTACCCTGCCATAGGTTGCAGTTTAGTGCTTTTTTACCTAAGAAAGCAATTTGCTGAGGGAATTTTTGTGTAAAAATACTAGGGTGTACTATGTATCTCCATGTGTGTAAACATTTGTTTTTCTGAAGGTGCTCAGAGTAAAATAGCCTTATTTATTTATAATGCCTAGGAGTTACGCTGTAGGTAGAAAAGGACAGCAGTTAGTAAGCAGGTCAAGAAAACGCACTGATTGTCAAATAGATGTGCTTCCCGCAATATTCGTTTATCCCTGAAGTAGAAATTCTTTGTTTCTTACTCTGAAAAGTTACCAATAGTGGAAAGTTTTCTAAACCAAAACTAATTATTTTTACTTATAACTAAAAATAGCTGGTATTGGTATTTTGGAAGAAATGTTGACACGTTTGTGGTCAGCTCAAACTCTGAGATTACGGTTTCAAACTGTTCTTAACTTGATACACTGTAAGTTTATAAATAGTGATTGTTTTTGTCTCCATGCAATTTGTGAGTTCAGTGGGCAGTACCTTATTTGAAATGTCATTTTCTTTTTAAGTGGTGAACTAAAGTAACACATATGGTATGTATTTTTATCTGCCTATTTTACTTTTGGAATGCAAGTGTTGGTTTGTGAGTCATATGTTTGTGTTATAGCTGATATTCTTTTTCTCTTTTTTTATGTTGTTTGCTTACTTTTTAGTGATTCACCTTTGCCAGTCTCATCCCGTGTCTGCTTTGTTAAGTTCCATGACCCGGACTCAGCAGTTGTGGCACAGCATCTGACAAACACTGTATTCGTTGACAGAGCTTTGATAGTCGTACCATATGCAGAAGGTTTGTGCTTTGTTTAACTACCTATGAGGGCATCCTATGATGACCATCTACCTCAGTATAGTTTTAGAGTGAGCGTTAGTAGCATGTTAGAAATTTAAGCTATTAACATTTTGAAACCCTTGTTATACTGCAGTCCATATTTTTACTTGCAGATTTTTTTTAATTCTAAAAATTAGAAATCAGACCTGTTTTTATATTTAATTTTTTGCCTTCTTTTAAAACATTTTAAGTTCGTTAAAACCATATCCCTAATTGTAATTTCTTAAGATATACCTACTTAGTTAATTTAATGTTGAGTTTTATGAAAAAGCCCTGAAGGTGAATGGTTCACTCCATGCACATTTATGTAGAAGCCTTCAAATAAATGCATGATGTTATTTCTGTTTTGAATAAATGACTAGGTTAGTTTTATTTATGTCGTGCTTCCTCTCACAGATAACTTTAAAAAAATATCCCACCTTGAATTCCAGTATACCAAGGGTTGCAATGATTTTGGTTTTTATGAAAGTTCAAGATTTTCTGTAGCTTAGGTGCCAGATGGGCACTGGGTGATTTGTTTTTATGCCAGATTTTCTTGTTCATTCTTGCTATATTTTCTAGATATCTCTAAATAATAAATTCTTCTCTCTGTTATTTGTGTGTGTGATTTTTGTAGTGGAGAAGGCAAATGCAAAACTCTTCCAGATGACTGAAAAACAGTGGGTCCTCTGCAGCTACAGGGGATTCTAGACATTAACTAAAGGCCAGCAAGCACTCAAGTCCCCCAAGTGTTTTCCTGGTGTAACCATCCATTTGTTAACTACATTTTCTCTCTTTTTACATTTTAGGCTGTTAAAGTAATTTGACAGAAAAATAATGAGCAGGGTTTTGGATCTAAAAAAGCCACTGTGACAAGACAGCACTATATTAATTCCATTTTGTAAAATTTTCTGAAACATATTTTATAATTAGTTTGTTCCCAATGTACTGCTACCTTATTTGCTTTTCGGTAACTATAAATTTTGATCAAAGAAATCACTGGAATATAAAATTACTGGATTTTAAGCTAATAATTTAAAATATATGCTGACCAGAATTTAAATGCTTTCCCCTTAATGAACTGGTCAGTGGAAGCAGAATTTTGATATTGTTAACTTTAGATGCTATCTCAGATCTTTGAATACCAGTGTGAACATTTACACCATGCCTTGTAAAAGTTGTGAAATGTCTAGTCCTTAAAACTTAGAAAAATTGCCTTTGTGGTTTTCTAAAGAAATTAAATTGCATTCATAGATGGATTAAGGCATGCTATATAATAATAGTACATCTGTCTCCGTGATATTAAAGTGTGTGAGCCCTATTTTAAGGTTTTAAAATATATATGCTGATAAACGTTTGAGTTAGTGTGTTTTGATTAAGCAATTTCTTTTATATCAGTGTGCCTGTTGTAGGGTAAGACCACCAAGAGAAAATTTACAGAATTCAGATTTAGGATAAGTAAAATACAGTTTTTGAAACAGAGTTCAAATCATGTGAGTAATGTGCAGAACTTTAGTTAGGCTTTAAATTTAAAGAATTCTTATTGGCTAAGTATCATAGTTCCCAAGTCCTGAACATAATACAGTATATCATATAACTGACTTTCATAAGTATTTTCAGACTATAGTATCCTTTCTAGATCTGTTTTGTAAATGAAATGTTTAGGAATGTATATAGAATTACAGAAATATTTAGTTCCAGAATCTGTTTTTGGTTTATTTGATTATTGGTATGGTATGCTGTATTAATGTTACCACCGCTAAATAACTGATGTACTCAGTCCCTTTGTCACCATTCACCCTAGTTTTAGCTCTTACACTTTGGTGTTGGCTCTTGGTCAGTGTTTTAGAACAATAGACACAAAGTCTACGGTAAGGAATAGTCTTAATTGGTAAAACCGAGATAGCTGGATTTGGAAGGAACTCTTAATAGTAATGGATTTGGGGGTTATTTAGGTTCCTTGGTTAATGTTTGTTTCTTTTGTCTGTTTCTTTTTCTTTCATTTCTACACATTCATGCAGTATTTCATGGTTCTATCAAAGCAGCAGTAAAAAAAATACTCTTGACGCATGAAAATTAACTGGTGAGGGGCCTCATTGCTATTTTTAAATTGTAGTTTTATTTTTAAATAGTCTTTTTTAAATCAGAGGATCAGATGCATGACTTTTTTTTTTTAATGGATGCAGATCTTCTATCAGGTGTCTCACAATAAATTCAAGAGGATTTTAGTTTGCCAGAAATGTTGCAAATGCACTGATTTGAGTAAGATGTTGATACTTAATATTATCCTCTTGAGACATAATTTTGCATGCAAAATTATCCCATAATCTTTGTAGGTTTGTTAATATTGATGCATTAATGCCCTATATCTAAATGATCTTCTCCCCCACCCCTCCATAACTCTTGGTATCTAAATTGATGACAGCTCTGACACAAGCAAGATAACAGTGCTGTGTAGTATACATTTGTTTATATTATCGGCACTTCTCAGTATAGGTGGAAGGAACCATTACCTTTATTTAACAGTGGTTTTTCTTTTTTGTTGTTGTGTTTTACAGTTCTTTTCCCTGGTTCAGCCTGAACTATATACCAGGCCCTGCTGAAAATACCACCCAACAGTTTTCTTCTGCAGCTTATCCAGTTTCTCTTAAGTGCCCTGTACATATTGTATGTTTTATGATGAGATGCAGTTTCTTAATATGTATTACAGAAATACTACTGGTATTTGCAAATATGTAGTTTAATTGTATTATTGAACTCTCATTTTGGGGGCTTGGGCACATTAACAGATTAATCCATCTGTATAGGGCTTTTGCTGTTGGATAGAATTTAAATTGTCTACATAAATATTTGTTTTAGGGCCCTTAGATTTTATCTGAATACACAGATTAGGCTTTAAAAACAGACATACATGTTGTTTTTGGCTTTAGGAGTTTGGCTAAGTTAGCTTTTGAACTGACACTATGTAGCAGCATTTTTGGTATGGTTAGCCATGGCACATGTTGGAATATAAAGCATTTTACTATACAGGTAAGGAATGTGCCATGTTGTTTTACCTATTCTCTCTCTTTCTTACTCACTCACTTTCACACACACATCCTGTGTGTATTCAGAGACCTTCAGAAACATTCATATTCATTTTCATGAGTCAGCAAAAGCCCTACGCTTGATTCCAACAGAATATTTCCTTTACATACTTTTCTTCTCTTAATTTTTACAAAATTTGTATGGTAGGTGTAAAAGAAAATCATAGTAACTGTACCATATTATTAACCCCTAAATCAAACTTTTTTTGTCTTGTGTATCTTGATTTTTCTGTGTGCTTTATAGTGAAGCAGCCGACACGAGTCGTTGTTCATAAAACAGCTTTTGAAAGTTGAGAGCACACCCCTGGAGAACCGACTGTGCTTGCTTACGTTTGGTTCATGACTTAAAAATCGAGTACAGGTGATGAAATCTTGGCAGTGTTAACAAAAAAGTAGTGTGTATTGTGCTATTTTTTTTTTACTCTAGAAACTTAACCATTTGTAGAGAAAAAGGAAACAAATTTTCACACATTGAAGTTTCATTCTGACATAAAATTAATGATAAATAATCATAGAAGTCAAGCTTTATATTTTAGCGAACATAAGTACTTTCAACAAACTCAGGTGGTGTATCAGGGAGACTTTTTCTGGGTGTTTTTGTGTGTTTTCTGTCTTGCAAAAAAGTGTGTTCTAATGCAAGGATGTTTCTCTGCAGGAGTTATTCCTGATGAGACTAAGGCTTTGTCTCTGTTGGCACCAGCTAATGCAGTGGCAGGTCTTCTGCCTGGTGGTGGACTCCTGCCTACCCCTAACCCACTTACCCAGGTACTGCTCGTTCCATTTGAAATCTTAAAGGATAGAAAGGAACACAGAATTGTGGATAAACCTAAACATACTCGAGCTTTTTAAGTGCTATAATGAGTAGAGTTCACAGAGTGATACCACGCCTCTTGGGAGTTTGCATTTGAAGAACAGTCTGAAAATCATAAATCTGTTGTATTTCGTTTTCTACTAGCTCTCAAAATAAGGAACCAGTGGATGGCGGGTGAGGGGGTAGGGCTGGAATCTCATGAGGCATAAGACTTCTGTTGAACATGCTGTTAAAAATAGTATGTTCATTTGGACCCAGAAAGAAAATAAAGGTGTAATTGAGACTTACTGTTTTTTTTCTTTCTCAATGCCCTTTGATCTTTTGCTCTTGGGGTTTGAATTAAGTACATGGTTTGAAATAAAGATGAATTCTTAATGGAGATTTTTAATAAGGGGAAGATGAAATAAAGTTGGAGAAGATTTTTGCTAGGTAATGTTTCTAACCTGATAGGATGCTGTAAAAAGCATGTTGTTTTAGAACTAAAAAGCTCTTTAAATTTCATGTATTCTTACTCAGATTGTAACTGGTCAGTGAGTGGTTTCACAGATAATATCGAACAGCAAGCCTCAACTAGAATTTTATAACAGCATTTTTTTCTATTATATCATTTTGCCTGTCTGAATAATTTTAACTATTAAGTCAGAAAAAGGATGAAGTCAAGAATTCCCATCTCTTTTGAGTATGACTTTGTCACTTAAATCCTCATTTTTTACTTATGAGGATCTGGGTAATTTGTAGATTGATTCCTTCAGTGTATAAAATTGTATAATAACTAAGGTAGACGCTTTATAGTGACACTATTTTAATTGTACTCCATAAACTATAGTTAAAGTACAGAAAGTTTGCTATCTTTTACTCACTAAATATTATTAGAAGCTAGAAGAACTCTTAGCACAGTTCTTAAGTCAGACTGCCTCCAATAGGACTTTGCATGGTTTGTATCTATTATTGATTAGAATTATGTCAGGCAGGAGACAAAAAAAACCCACACACAGTAACTTAAGGGAAAGTTTAATATAAAAAATTACTAACTAGTAATAGGAGATTACTTAGTGGAACGCCAATGAATATACAGTAATCACAGGTATAGGAAGCAACTAGTACTTCTAGATCTGAGGAAGAAAGAACACAGGAAACATTAGATGAGGGGGTTCCTCTTCCCCCTGAAGGCTGTTTCAGATCTCCTTCAAAAGGCTGGATAGTACAGAAGTTCTCGGGGGTGCCCACAGAACTTGTAAGAAGCTGCCCAAAAGGATGGTACTGAAACTCATTAAAGAGGTGAAAGCCAGGGGCGCCTGGGTGGCTCAGTCGATTAAGAGGCCGTCTTTGGCTCAGGTAATGATCCCAGGGTCCTGGGATCAAGTTCCGCATCAGGCTCCCTGCTCGGCGAGAAACCTGCTTCTTCCTCTCCCTCTGCCTGCCGTTCCCCCTGCTTATGCTGAGCCGCGAGCTCACTCTCTCTCTCTTTCAAATAAATAAAGAGGTGAAATGCACTGCATCCCACTGCAATAACCATCAGAAAGTGAACAAAGAAACGATGAAGAGAAACCCCTTCCAGTGTCCTTCTGGCTCCCCCTACAGATAAAGCTTGACATCACACCAGCTGTTGAGGGAGAAATGCTTATAAGGGTGCTGCATTCATTATCACAAAAGGGGCAAAGAACACTGGATTTGGAGCTGAGAAGGAACAAATACAAATTGTTGGCACATGAATATATAAAAGTTTTTTATGTTTTTCTAATTTCTGGTTTTAGGGATAAATGTGCTGTAATGAGTGAGAAATGAGGCCATTGTATATTGCAGGGGTAGTAGGCAAACTACAGCCCTTGGTCCAGATCCCCGTTTTTGTTAATTTTGATTTGACAACCATGCCCACTTGTTCATTTAGTATTATCTTTGTTTTCAAGCTACAGTAGCATACATAGCTGAGTAGTTGCAACAGAGCCCACATAGCTCAGACTTAAATTAGTTATTTTAGGTCTTTTAAACAGGAAAAAATAATTTCAGGAATAGAAATTAAATTTTAAGTAAATAAAATTTGAAATTTCACAGATTGGCGCTGTTCCATTGGCTGCTTTGGGAGCTCCTACTCTTGATCCTGCCCTTGCTGCACTTGGGCTTCCTGGAGCAAACTTGAACTCTCAGGTATAACTGAATACCCTTCAACTTTGAGCTCATTTTTATGATTAAAGAATTCGTTCTATTAACTGTTAAGTTTGCATTTCCAGAATGGGAGATAACTGATTGCTACAGTATAGTAATATTTTTTTTATGTAAACTTGTTAATGAGAAGTTTAAAAGGCCACTGCATTATTAGCCCCTTGACCATTAAAGAATTTCTCGTTTTATGTAGTTCAGAGTAGTTTCACAGAAAGCCAATATATCAGTATGTTTGGAGTCAGAAAAAATAATCATGAAAGGATGGGAATGTAGGTTCATAATTTGTTTTCTTGTTACTCAGAAATTTTTGTTTTCTCTCATTGTTATTTGGCTAAACTTTTTTCTGAAGTCCTTACTTTGTGGAAATTTTATTATACTGCCTGAACACTTGGAGTTATGTTTTACACATTTCTTTGAAATGTTACCTCCTCAGAAAGTCTCAAAACAAGCAAGAGGTAGCTGTTCTATAAAACCTAGACTTTTCAGCTAATAATATATTTAACTTGCTAAAGCAGCTCAACTTAACATGATGTATTTCACTGGCACTATGTTTCTATTGGTCATCGGTGTGCCTAAAATAATGTTACGTTTTGTACGTTGGCCTGATTGTCCTAAGGCATTTCAACATACTGAGAAAATAAAATAGTCATTTATTTTATGTATTCTCACTGTTGTTACATTTTTGTTTTTGCAGTCTCTTGCTGCAGATCAGTTGCTGAAGCTTATGAGTACTGTTGATCCCAAGTAAGGATTTTTTTCTGTGTTTCCATTGGGTGATGTGGATATAGTATGTGAATGGAGAAGTTACGCTTTGGTAGTTAAAAAAAGAAAGTTATTTCAAGTTATACAATACATAATTCTGTTTTCTAGAAACGAGAAAAATTCAGAGGTAAGCCCATCTTTAAAGGGTTTTGTTTCAGTATAAGTTGAGTCTTTCAGAACAGTTGTGAATATGTTCTGCCAGGATGACAGGAAAAGAGCTAAATGTTCTTTAGTTGATTCATTTGAAAAATGTATGTATACTGAGTACTGCTATACGCTTGTGCCTTCATAGCATTTATACTCTAGTCAGAAATGGAGACGTTATTTAAATATAGTAAAGTGTGTGCATACAATAAGAGGAAATACACTGGGGCTATGAGAACTTACTACAAGGAGAACTTAAGATCAGAGATGCTGAGCCTGGGGCATGAATAGGAGTCAGGGACACAGAAGGGAAGGAAACACTATCCCAGAGCAAAAAACTAGTACATGTCACATAATACCAACATCTTTTTTTAGGTGCTTTGAAATGTTCTCTTTGTGCTGTAACGTTCTCTAGTTGATATATAACAAAGTCATGAGATATTTTACTTCATAATTTCCTGGTATTATATTAAATTTGAATTTAACACTTTTTCTGCTTGGTGATATTCACTATAAATAAGTGGGAGAGTGTGGGGGGAGGGACAACAGAATTATTTGACTGTAGTAATTAGTGCCTTTTTTCTTAAAAATTATCTGATAAGATCTTAGCATGTACCAACCACCCAGCAATATAACACCAGTACAGTTGAAATTCCTTCTGAACCCATTCTTGTTTACATTGCCCTTTCTCCATAAATAATTAACTAATATTCGTTGATTTTTTTTCACATGTTGTAAACCTTTTAGAAGGTCCATCTTTCCAGTCAGCAATTTCATGAGTAACTTTGGTGTGCCATTGGCCTCTGCCTCATTTTCTGTCCATCTTCAACCTTACAAGTAATACTCTTTAATTCTGCTGTAGAAAGCTTTTAAATCGTATGAAGGAAAAGTTTTGTTAATCAAAAATCTTCAGCATCTGCATATTCCCAGGTACTAGCATTTCTCAACTTGTGTTTATGGAAAGTTAATGGATGTTTAGCAAAATAATAGGTATTTTTCTTATTCCAGGTGTCTCTCAATCTTTTAAAATGCAGATTATAAATATTGAAAAGGATACTATACTACACATGGTTTTACCAAAATTAACATGAACTCTCCCCCTTTTTCAAGTAGTATCTTACTAAAATGATATATAAAACATTAACACATTTATTTGTAATACTGTTGTGCATTTTTAAATACTTCAGCTCTCAATTTTTGGTTCTGTTTCAGGTTGAATCATGTAGCTGCTGGTCTTGTTTCACCAAGTCTGAAATCAGATACCTCTAGTAAAGAAATAGAGGAAGCCATGAAGAGAGTACGAGAAGCACAGTCCCTAATTTCTGCTGCTATAGAACCAGGTAAAATATGTTAGGCAGTTGTGTTGAACTTTAAATTACAGGATTATTGATGAAAATGATTATTGCATAAGTTTGGGAATATGTTGAGTAATACTGTAATCATTTTTTAATTTTCCAAAATCTGATAAAAGAGCATGTAGTAGAGTGATCCTGGGTCAGGGCAGGGAACCTGTCACCTGGACATAATTTGAAATCTGGAGATACTTAATTTTCATGCTGGTACCAACTGCATCTCTAGCGGGTAGAGGATCAGGATGTAGCTAAACATCCTACAAGGCACTCTACCCCATCCCTCAAAGAATGATGCATTCCTTAATAGTAGTGCCTGGATTTATGTTTGCCTATATTGGGATAGCCTAATTGATTTCAGCTTTTATTTGACCTAGAGAACCTAGTGAAGATGCTTCTCTTACGACGTTTGTTTAAAGAAAAGTAAATACCTAAAAATAGTGCCTTGTTCTTTGCAGACTGTCTTTTTGAGATGAAATGAATGGTTATCCTATTGTCTGCCTATATAGATTGGTTGTTTGGTCCTGGATTATTTTTTCCCCGATTAAATAATGTTTTACTAATTTTTCATTCCTATTTCTTAATAAATGGGAAGGTTTTAGGTATGTATAGTATTAGGAAGATAATTATACATGTAACATTGGAAAAATTAATTCTAAGTGCTTTGTGTCTGTTATTTAATCAAGAGAATTAATTAGTCCAAGGCCAACAAAGCAAGCAGTAGGAGCTTTAGATACACCGCTTGGATGTATGTGACCCCAAAGCTAGAACACCATGCTGTAATTTTTCTTTTCATTGAAAACTAATAACTGGAAATACTAAAAGTGTTTTATTTATGAATTCCCCTCCCCCCAAGATTTTTGTTAATTTATTATTAATATTGACATTTGCAATAAATTGACTCCTGATAATGAAATGGTCTAAATGTGAAAGAACTCAGTGTCTCTTTGATTATACTCATGTGTGAAGAATGCAATCTTTATTTCTCTTAAGTCCCAAGTTAAAGGAATTGCTTTTGTATTATTTAAAAACTAAGAAATGGGAGTCAAATCATCTAGATCTGTCTCCTAACTTACACAGTTGAAAATTGGAGAGGAAGAAGGATGTTCAGACAGATTAAGAAAGAGAGCTAGCTTACTAAAACCCAGTTCTGTCACAGAGTATAGTGAGAACAGTGAATTGCATCATTACTTTGTGGAATTGAAGACCAAATATGGAGCCTGTTTATCAACCACTTTAACATAAACATACAGGAATTTATTTAGCAGAGGAGCATAGACTTAAGTGGTAAAGAAGGAACATTTTAATGGACCAAGAATTTAAAATGTCTGTATTTCTGTTTATTATAAATCTATTAAATGTATTTATCTTACATTTAAGTGCTGGTTGGGGAAATGTTATTAATACATAACACATGAAAATAAAGTTTTAAACTGGGTAAATTATAGCTATATTTGGGAAAGTAGAACCTAGGAATGGAAAAAGGGACTCCTCATTTAGAAACCTATAAAGAATGAGAAGGATAATCCTTTTCATAGCTTGTTTATGGACAGTACATCACAGCCTTCCAAGTCTGGTACAAATGAAAGAGTCAAAGGAACCTTTGGTTAGTTGAAAATCAGATGTCTAATTCGGATCTACCGAAAGTCTAGAAAAAATCATAAACCATTTAAGGATGTTACATAAAATCTGAAAATTAAGATAATATTTCTTAGAATAACTCCTGAATGGGCATAATCTATTTGATGATTTCTAAGTCCATATTCTTTTTTTTTTAAATCCAGATAAGAAAGAAGAAAAACGAAGGCACTCAAGGTCAAGATCACGTTCTAGGAGGAGGAGGACTCCCTCATCTTCTAGGCACAGGTTAGATTGATTGTTGTTAGTAGTTAATTGTACCTTAGACAAAGATAATTTCTGTATCTCACATCCTTCTTGTCATCTGTTAACCTACTTAGCTTTTGACTAAAGTGTGTCTTAGTAACTGTTGCCATTAGCAGAGTGTTTGAGTTCACATGTGTATACATGGAGAAAATGGGCTAAATAGACGATCGGTACTTTAAAACTCCAAAATCCGGGGTTGGGAGGAAGGCACTGGGACTGGAGCACTAAATTGCGTTAGAACTATGGAAGAACACTAGACTGGAAAATTGCGACTTGAATTCTAGTTCTGACTTTTCACAAGACCTTTGAGACTTTTAAGTTGAAAGGTCAACATGCAACCTGCAGCCTACCCATCTAATGCATGAATATTTGGAATGACAACTTGCTTTTCTTTTGGTAATATCACACACATCTCATCTGAAAACCCTTTTAAGTATTAGGAATCTGTTATGTTCACAGTGGTGGTTTCAAGTGTTCTAAAATTTAATTTTCTCTTGAAAACTCAGATCTTATCATTGGCAACAAGTTTGTTTTTCTTGAGATGATAGGCTTCATGCATTTTTTCAAGAAAATGTCTGCCAGTACCATAGTCTGAACAACCATAGTTTGTCATACTTGTTTTTTCGAATAAAGATGTTTCAATTAGCAATAATCGCGCCTCGGATAAACCTCATTGGCTGCGATACTGCCACTGCACAAAGCTAAAGATGTTTCATGGGAAAGCAGTTAGTTAAGCTCACAACTCAATCACACGATTGTGTTCTTTAATAACAAGTCATTGAACTTTATATGAGAAGTGATTTATGCAGTCATTGCACAGAACATTGCTCAAGGGACTAGACTTAATATTTACTACTCAGTAATACTACGTTAATAGCATTCAAAGAACCAGATTTAATAAAATTAATAGTCTTTATTGCTTCATCAAAGACCTCTTTAGTGAAAATGGCGTTTTTTTGTTTTTTTTTTTTTCTTTTACTGCAAGTGCATACTGCAAATGCCAGTGAAGAATACAGGTGACTACTAGGGCAATTTAGTTCCTGCTGCTTTGATTTGTGCTAGGAAGATGCTAACCCTTTCACACTACTATTGCTTTTGTACTATTAGTTCAAATGTCAACACGGTGAAAAGGGCAAATAATATCTTGGGTTTTTGAAAATAATTTTGACCTATGGACCTCATGACATTGTCAAGTCATTTCATACTCACCTCCTTAGTCAGGTCATTGCATTGGTCCACTTGGCTGCTATAATAGAATACCATAGGATCTGTGGCTTACAAACAACAGAAATTAATTTCTCACAGGTCTGGAGGCTGGGAAATCCAAGGTCGAGGTCTTGGCAAATTAGGTGTTGAGTGAGGACCCTTGTTTGTAAGTCTTTTCACTATATCCTCACATGGAATGGGTGAGGGGTTTAGATCTCTTTCATAACTTCATTAATCACAATGAAAGCTGCACTCACATGACCTAATTACCTCCAAAGGTGCCAGCTCAGTATCATTACATTGGAAATTGGGTTTCACATAAGATTTTGGAAGGGACACAAAATTCAATCTATAGCAGAATGTTACAGGGTTGTCTTTTTTTTTTTTTCTTTCTTTCTTCCCCCTACCTCCCATCTTCCCCCAGCCTGTCTCATTCCTAAAGATGTCCTTCAAAAAACCAAGTATGGGTCATGTCACAGCCTTTTAAACCTTAAGGAGCACCCTTATTGGCCTTAACAATATGGTAAATAAATCCTTAGAATGGTATTCAGGTTTCTTCACTATTCAACCTGGTTTATCCTTCCACGCTTGTCATTTGCCACTCAGAAACAGTTAACAACAGTACTGTTTGCCTGAATGTACATTTTCTGTACGCATCTGTGTTTTTGCTCATAACGTTCCTTTCTGCCTAATGCTCTTTCCCACATCTTCATCTGTACCCGAGGCACTCCTTTTTTGTTTGCTTGCTCAGGATCAGCTAAAATTTTACTCTTATGTGAAATATTGGTACTACTTATAATCCTAATTTTCCAGGACCATGCTCTTATGTTTTAGTTTCACACTTAAAAAAGTTTGAGAACCTAAGTCCTTTTTTCTGTATATACCATAGTGTTCTCAGATTTTAATTTGAACTACTTTAATACAACCAGTGGGAAATAACAGTGAAACATTACTTCCTTGAACAAAGTGTTTTTGGACATTTGTAATAATACATCCTAACAGAGAATTATTATGGGTTGTAGTATCTTAAGTATCTTGGCATGTAAAATGACAATTATTTTCAACAAACTTAAACTAATTTCGTATATTTTTCTGAATTTTTTAAGAGCCCATATAAACTAGAAAATATGTTAAAGTAGCTAGCTCTGCAGCACATCACTCTTAAAAAAATAACTGTTCCAGGACCTTATAGTGAATAGATGGATGTGGTACTCCTGCTTATCAGATTTTTGAAACTATTTTATATTAATCATTTTGTTTAGAAAGAAACTAAGAATGTGCTCATGATTTGTTGTTTCTGTATCTCTATTTTTTGTGTATACATTAAAGGTAGGAAAAATGAGTAACTCAGTTTAGCTGTCAACTTAAAGTTTTCTTAAAGCCAGAATCCTCAAAAGATGAGTAGTGCTTAATTCTAATACAATCAATTTTTATTTTCCAGAATTCTTTTTAACTCTTAAAAAGAAAGTGATGATTCTGATATTTTAAAGAGTTACTATCACCCAAAATATACTATTAGTACCTTTTATTGGAGTCAGGCACTGTAGTAATTGCTCAAGAGTATAGTGTTGAATAAGATAGACAAATTTAATCCCCGTTTTTGTGGAGCTTACAGAAAGGCAGGTAAGCATTACATGAACGTTTCCTAGGCTGTAGACATGTTTTTGAGAGGGATTGTTTTAGTAGTTTCCAAATGTCAAAAATAGATAATTAAAATGAAAGTTTATTGAATTCAGTAAGACACTAGTAATGGGTTTTGAAACAGTGGTTTTTAGAGAAGGAGATAACAGAAGCCATATTAGCACATTAGTAAGAGGAAAGAAAGGAATTGGTAGTTCATATATACACCTATACTAAAGCACTGAGCTGAACTTTTTTAAATTTCATTTTAAATAATATTTGTAATATAGGTGCTATTATTTTTCTTTGTTTAAGTAATAGGCTCAGAGAATGCTCTCCATTTGCTTGCTTTTAACTGAGATTTGGACATAAATCTTCATCATTTCTAAAGTGTCCCATCCCCTGGGCACCTTAAATAAGTGAACAACAAGAAGTTTTAGACGGTATTAGAAGTTTTCCATAGAAACAGGTTGAATGGTCCCAGAAGTTAAATGATAAAAGTCTTAAGCAGAGGATGCAGTTTGTTTTTAATTATTCTTAAGAGAATGAAATAACAAGAAGAGAAGGATTAGTGACAACATCAAAAAGTTAATTGTGCAACCTGGAAGAGAAAGTGTATAGGATTGGGGGAAGAGGTAGGGAGAGGGCGCAGAGACAAACACTTCTGTTACATGACAGTAAAGAGATGATCATGTAGAGATAGTGATAATGTTGAGGGGAAATGAGAGTGAAAGAGGCAGTTTGTGCTGAGTTTTATATACGTGTGTGTGTGTGTGTGTGTGTGTATATATATATATAATATATAGGGCTGAATTGTTTAGATTTCTCTCAAGTTGTAAATCAAAGAAGTAAAGTATTTCAGAGAACAATTAGAAGTCAGAGAGAGCAACAACACACTACGTGGTTTCCATTTATAAAATGAGAATAATAATAGTACCTACTTGACAGGCTTATGAGAGTAAGTATTTGTAAAGCATGTAGTAAGCAAACATTAAGTATTTGGTAATTGATAAATAGATTTAGCCTGCAATAGTGAGGAATCACAGAAGACATGGCTAAAATTCTATATAGTTGTGGAAGATGATGCAAATGAATCAGGTGCTTTTTAATTTTCCTTCATTCTGTAGTACAATTTTCAGGTTCAGAGTTGTAGTGTCAGGGCATAGTACTATTTTGACAGGTTGAGATTAAAAGGTGAGAAATTCTCGGTGTTAGAAGGTATTGATTTCTAGGGTATCAAAGATGTTTTAGGGGCACCTGGGTGGCTCAGTCAGTTGAGCATCTGACTTTAGGTTTTGGCTCACGTCATGATCTCAGGGTTGTGGAATTAAGCCCTGTATCAGGCTACAGGGTCTGCTTGAGATTCTCTCCCCACCCCCCGCCCCCAGTTGCTCTCGCTCCCTAAGATAATAAAAACCTTCAAAAAAAAAAAAAAGGTGGTTTTACAGCAACTGATAGGAAATTACCCCCACTCATTGATGATTAAGCCGTATGTCTGAATCATTTGTTTGATGCTAAGTGAAACAGTCACAGAGCTAGTCTTTCTACCTTTATATATGTGTATTGGCTTTCTTTTGCTATTAGGCGGTCAAGAAGCAGATCAAGAAGGAGATCACATTCTAAGTCAAGGAGTAGGCGACGATCCAAAAGTCCAAGACGGAGAAGATCTCATTCCAGAGAGAGAGGTAGAAGGTCAAGGAGCACATCAAAAACCAGGTACAGTAGACCATTGACATTGAGTGGGAAGACAAATTTTAGAGTTGCCGAGACCCTAAATACGGGCTACTTAATGACAAAAGAGCTAGTGAAAGGAGATAGGGCTAGATTCGAGAAGGAACTATTTAAAGTTTGAAGAGGCTGACATTTGTTTTCTGGGGCTCCTTTGTAAACTTAAGGTTTCTCCTTATAGCTGAAAACAGAGATACGATTTCTTTGTAGTAAAAATTCTTACCTGTCCTACTACATTCTTTCATTTCCTTCTTTCCTCTCAGCCCTAAGGATGTAGTGCTGCCAGGATTCCTTATGGTATGCTGAAGAGTTGATGGCAGGCAACCATGCCTTAATTCACCTTTATAAATCCCATTATCAGCACCTTATAAACATTTATTAAGAATTACTATATGGCAAACACTGAACCATACTTAGCCTCCTATCCCATGATTTGGAATGAGTAGAAGGTTTAAAGTTGAGGATTCACTAAACAAACATCGTTACCTTAACATTGTATTTTGACTTAAACATGCATTCATTCAGTAGTCAGTCTTTTTCATATAGGGCCAAACCCTTTTAAATTAATATGTAGTCTTTTTTTTTTTTTTAAGATTTTGTTTATTTGACAGAGAGGGAACACAAGCAGGGGGAGTGGGAGAGGGAGAAGCAGGCTTCCCGCGGAGCAGGGAGCCTGATGTGGGGCTCGATCCCAGGACCCTGGGATCATGACCTAAGTCGAAGGCAGACGCTTAACGACTGAGCCACCCAGGCGCCCCTGATATGTACTCTTGAGTAACATTTACCAAGTCATTGTTTTTTCACTTGAACCACCTTTACAGTGTCAAGGGAACTATCACTTTTAAAAAAGTGCCTAGATTTTTATTCTTTTTTTCTCATTTATAGTTGTCACATGGATAGTTTCACAATGCTTTTTTTTTTTTCTAGAAGCAGACCTTTTATTTTATACTATCCATTATGCATTTGTGTATTTATGTAATTAATAAGGACAGCTGGAGTCCAAAACAGTTTATTCTCAGTGAACATATAGCTCAGCTGGGAACAAAAGTTTGGGGGTAGCTTTACTGAGTATTCAGCCTGTAATGAGGCTTTTAGTTACTATATTTTATAGGGTGAGTCATCTTAATCCAGTCAAACAAGCTTGCATAATGAAATGAATATCATACAAAGAGGAATTGGGCATTCCTCAAGGAACTTTTTTTTTATACAAGAGGGGTTAATGTAATTACCAAGTAAGAGTCATTGCTAGTAGTATTGGAAGATAATTGAGAAGTGACTGAGTATGAAATTCTGATAGACTTGACTGCAGTTAGGAGCATGGTTTCCGGCAGAGAATGTTGTTTACAAAGTTAGCATAAATTCTTGGAATGGCAAGTATTTTGGTATGGGGGGGCTAGGAAATAAGGTCAGCAAGTGTAAGGAAGCAGGTGACACATAGAAGGCTGTGTTGTTCCCACTAAGGAATTTGTACCTGATCCAGAAAAAAATGGAAAGAGATGGAAAAGTTATGGAACCGGGAGTTAATCTTTTCAAATTTGTATTTTGAAAAGATTTCTGATAGAGGATCAATTTGTGGAAACATGACTGAGTCTCCATGAGGGACTGTTACTGTAATCAAAAATTTGAACTATAGGGATTAGCTTAGAAAAACAAGAGGGATACTTCAGTCTCTACGGTTATAGTTGAGGATAGGTATGTATGTGTTTATGGGAGTGAAGGACTTCTCATTCAGCAAATACACTGATTACCTTTTGCCCAGAGTCTTGGGGAGAATGGTAATCTAGGAGGAAAAAATGCTGTAGGAAATAAAAGTAAATTTACAAGAATCTGTGAAAAGATTTAGAATTGAAGAATGTCTAGTAATAGTCCATTGTGATGGGATAGTTTTCTGATAGCATTGAATAGCACAGAATATGTAGCAGGAAGAAAAGTAGGAGGTTGACTTGGTCCATGGTAAAGGTTAACAACATATGGGGTATGTGCTTTCGAAGAATATTGGTAATAGTGATCATTAAATTTGGTAAAGCTTTGTGGGTTCTGGCCTGACAGAGGACACAGAGTCATGGTGGGTGGGGAAATTGGTAATCAGCTGAGAGAAGAAGGGGTGTTGAAGAGCCTGGAGACAATTATTAAACTATTGGTGTTGGGATGCCAGGGTGGCTCAGTTGGTTAAGCATCCGCCTTCAGCTCAGGTCATAATCCCAGGGTCCTGGCATTGGATCCTACATCGGGCTCCTTGCTCAGCAGGGAGCCTGCTTCTCCCTCTTGCTGCTCCCCCTGCTTGTGCTCTCTCTCTCTGACAAATAAAATATTTTTAAATAAATAAATCTTGTTTATTGCCACACATACCAAGAAATTGGACAACATCCTATATTAGTTTTTCATCACATAGTCTGTTTTGCTCTATGGGAGAGAAGTTTTATATGGAATAGTTAGAAAATGGGTTTTTTTTAAAGTTACTTACCACACATATGCCACTTAAGCTATTACAGTTTCTATAAGAATATTCATATTTTAAGAATGGAATTAGATCAGAGGTGCCTTGGTGGCTCAGTTGGTTTTAAGCGACTGCCTTCGGCTCAGGTCATGATCCTGGAGTCCCAGAATTGAGTCCCACATTGGGCTGCGTGCTCAGCAGGGAGTCTGCTTCTCCCTCTGACCCTCCCCCCCTCATGCTCTCTCTGTCATTCTCTCAAATAAATAAAAATCTTTAAAATAAAAGAATTAGATCTCATTGTGCTTTTGTTTTTATTTGTAGTTGTTGTATTTCTTCTAATGCATTCGTAAATTGTGTTCATTTATTAGAGACAAAAAGAAAGAAGACAAAGAAAAGAAACGTTCCAAAACACCACCAAAAAGTTACAGCACAGCCAGACGTTCCAGAAGTGCAAGCAGGTAAGGTGGCATTACGAGTTCTTGGCACCTTTTATAACTTTGCAAGAATATCAATAGGCCGTGAGCATTAAATGTTTTCCAGTACATAGATACATACTACAGTGTTGAAGTTTTTTAAAAGCAATTTGGAAGAATAAAGTTCTTTTTACTTAATATTTTATAGTGTTATATTTGAAATGACATGGAATTCAACAGAGGTCAGTTTTTGTTTGCCATATATATTTCACATTCTGATTTGGTTTGTTTGTTAAGTTTTAATGGCTAATAATGTATGCTGATTTACTGCATTAAATTCATTTTATTATAGTAAGTCATGTTTAAAATATCCACATATATAGTCATTTATTGATAAAATGAGAGGCCATGTAAGTTCCAATTTGTGTCATTCTCAGACTAGTAATTGTGTTTTTAATCTGCCATAGTGAAAATTCAATGTTGCAACTTTACTCCATAGAAAATACATGCCTGGGTGGCTCAGTTGGTTAAGCGTCTGCCTTCAGCTCGGGTCATGATCCCAGGGTCCTGGGATCGAGTCCCACATCGGGCTCCTTGCTGAGCCGGGAGCCTGCTTCTCCCTCTGCCTGCCTCTGTCTCTCTCTCTCTGATAAATAAATAAAAAGTCTTTAAAAAAAAAAAAAAGAAAAGAAAATACATTTTTCACTCTTAATGTGGAATTCATATGCTAGTAGTAAGGATGGCTACTTCCATTTTCTTCCAATCTCATTTACACATGTCTTGCTGCAGTATTCTTTAATCTTGATGTTCAGATTTACTAGGAGGCTCACACTGTATGTAAAAAATAATACAGTAGATGAAAGACCTAAATATAAAAGCTAAAACTAAAACCTGCTAGAAGAAAACCTAGAATTAAATCTTTATGGCCTTGAATTTGGCAGTGGTTTCCTAAATGACACCAAAAGCATAAGCAACACGAGAGAAATAGATAAATTGGAGATCATCAGTACTACAGGCGTGTGTTTCAAAGAACACTGTCAAGAAAGTAAAGATAATCCGGAGTGGTAGAAGATATTTGCAAATTATATATAAGCTAGTAAGGAACTTGTTATCTAAAACATAGGAAGAATCAGATTACCAAGTATAAAAATGGGCAAAGAATCTGAATTGACATTTCATCAAAGATAAGCAAGTATCCAGTAAGCTCATGAAAAGACGTTAGCATTAGTCATGAAGGAAATGCAAATCAGAACTGCTTCATACCCACTTGGATGGTTATATTAAAAAAAAAAAAGATAACTAGTGGTTGGTGAGGATGTGGAGAAATTGGAACTCTGCATTGCTGATATTAATGTAAAATGGGGCAGATACTTTGGAAAACCATTTGGCAATTCCTTAAAAAGTTAGAACTTCTTGGGGCGCCTGTGTGGCTCAGTCGTTGAGCGTCTGCCTTCGGCTCAGGTCATGATATCAGGGACCTGGGATCGAGCCCCGCATCGGGCTCCCTGCTCGGCTGGAGGCCTGCTTCTCCCTCCCCCACTCCCCCTGCTTGTGTTCCCTCTTGTGCTGTGTCTCTCTCTGCCAAATAAATAAATAAAATCTTAAAAAAAAAAAATTTCTTTACACGGTAGTTTCACTCCTAGGGGTATACCCAAGAGAGGTGAAAACATAATGTCCACACAACAACTCCTACATGAATGTTCATAGCAGCATTGTCAGGATAATCCCAAAGTCAACCCAAATGTCCATTAACTAACATGGGTAAACAAAATGGTATATTCATACAGTGGAATATTATTCAGCAGTAAAAAGAAAATGTACTGACAGATGCTCTAATATGGATGAGCCTTGAAAACGTTACAGCAGATGAAAGCCAGACCACATATTGTATGATTCCATTTATATGAAATGTCCAGAACAGGTAAATCTTTTAAAGAGAAAATAGATCAGTGGTTGCTGTGAATAGCTAAAGGGTCTGCGTTTCTTATCAGCGTGATAGTTTCTTAAAGGTAAAAATAATAAACAAAACAAAACCAGATGTGAGTGCTTAAGGAAATGCCAAACCAGGTCTACAAAATATATAGGTAGCACAGAGGCATAAAAGATGGGATGAGCAACGTATATTTTCTTACCTTGAAAACTAGAGGCATTTTTTTTGCTATTGCTTTACTTAATGTACTTACTTATAAGCACTTTACCCTACTTAATTATTGGATTATCCTAAGTTAAGGCATATTCTTTTAAGTTTTTATTATATACTTGCTGTGTTTGCAGTTGTGCTACAGTCTATACAGGGACACAGAAATATATAAAACATCTCTTTCATCTAGGGGTATTTCGAGTTTTGGTTACACAGAGCAGTAACAAAAAGTATGCATTGTACAAACGTGACAAACTTAATATTTGATGAATGAAAAGTTGTGTGTGTGTAATGTTTCTGGCAGGGGAAGTCAGGGAGGTCACAGAGGGCTGTTAAGAGTTAAAGAAAAAGTTTTTTTTTTTTTTTTACATCTTTTTTTTATTTTTTTTATTATGTTAATCACCATACATCATTAGTTTCTGATGTAGTGTTCCATGATTCATTGTTTGTGCATAACACCCAGTGCTCCATGCAGAATGTGCCCTCTTTAATACCCATCACCAGGCTAACCCATCCCCCCACCCCCCTCCCCTCTAGAACCCTCAGTTTGTTTCTCAGAGTCCATAGTCTCTCATGGTTCATCTCCCCCTCCAATCTCTCCCCTTTCATTTTTCCCTTCCTACTATCTTCTTTTTTTTAACATATAATGTATTATTTGTTTCAGAAGTACAGGTCTGTGATTCAACAGTCTTGCACAACTCACAGCGCTCACCATAGCACATACCCTCCCCAATGTCTATCACCCAGCCACCCCATTCATCCAACTGAATGTCTGAGATTTTATTTTTGATTATTTCTTTGTGCCTAAATTGTAATAATGGTCATCTTGCAAGTCTTAAAATTTTTGAGAATAGTGACAGAAGCAGAATATTTAAAAAAAAAGAAAATGCCACAATTTTAGAGAGGAGAAGGCTGTATGCATCTTAAAACTAATTTTTCAAAGCACGGTTGAAGGGAACATCATTTGTTGAAATATAGGGAGTCATTTTGATCTCTGTTACTACTAACTCTACTTCTTGAATTTTACCTAACAAAAGTAATTTTTTTGGATTGTTTTTAGCAGTTGATTTTCGTATCATGGCTTATTATCTTATACCTGTTCTGGCCACTGAATTTTTGAATTTAAAACTGAGTTCTGAAATAGCTTACTTCAGACTGTTTTTCCTTCCTGAGTTAGAACTTTAGTCTTTTTTTTTTTTTAAGATTTTATTTATTTATTCATTTGAGAGAGAGAGCACAAGCAGGAGGAAGGGCAGAGGGAGAGGGAGAAGCAGGGAGCCCTACGCGGGGCTTGATCCCAGGACCCTGGGATCATGACCTGAGCTGAAGGCAGATGCTTAACTGACTGAGCCACCCAGGTGCCCCAGAACGTTTGTCTTTAAGAATTGACACAAGTTAGGGTTTTCTTGAGGGCATGAAAGTAAAAGCATACAGTGTGTTAAAAATTATTCGTTTGAGTCTTCAGCTCAAAACGGTATTTGAAAATGGGTCTTTCAGGGGCACCTGGTTGGCTTAGTCAGAAGAGCAGGCACCTCTTGATCTCAGGGTTGTAAGTTCGAGCCCCACGTTGGGTGTAGAGATGATTTAAAAATCAAGTCTTTTAAACAAACAAAAAAAAATGGATTTTTAATTATCAGATCCTTCTGTAGGAGTTCCTAGTGGAGCTCCCTTAATAGACACATCTGCTGTGATGTGTTTGCATTTTTTAGATAATACTGTAATTTAAAATCTAGCTTGCACATTTGTGGTTCCAGAGAGAGGCGACGACGACGAAGTAGGAGTGGCACGAGATCTCCTAAAAAGCCTAGGTCACCTAAAAGGAAATTGTCTCGCTCACCGTCTCCTAGGAGGTAAGAATGTTAGTGCTATGGATCTGTACTTCGTACATTTCAGAAGCTGTCAGTTTTTATTTTAAAAACTCTCCTAGACTTTTTCTTCCTTTTCAAGAATTAAAGTGCCTAAGAACAAGAACATGCTGATATATTCCCTTTCTGCCTGAGACTGTGTTATTATAAAAAGTGTTTAGACCTAAACTGTCTGCAGTTTAGACTGTGATTGGTTACGAGTGAGCACTTACGGTGTTCTTGCCTGTATCACTAATGCACAGCTTGTACCCGGCGTCTTGAAGCGGGTCTCTGTTGTTTGTGTCATGTGAACTGGGTCAGGCTCAGCGTCTGAACAAGTTTAAACTTACTGCTATACTCACGGGTGACACTTCTTGACTGGTTCCTTTAAAGCATTTTTTTTTTTTTTTGAGAATATTTTACTGTCATCCTAGACATAAAAAGGAGAAAAAGAAAGATAAAGACAAAGAAAGAAGCAGAGATGAAAGAGAACGGTCAACAAGCAAGAAGAAGAAAAGTAAAGATAAGGAAAAGGATCGGGAAAGAAAATCAGAGAGTGATAAAGATGTAAAAGTATGTTTACAAACTAATTTACTTTGATATTTGGGGTAGTGCTGGTAATGTTAAGAAGTGATTTTTCTGGGAAGACGTTTACTTTCTTTATTCTCCTTGGCAAAGCAGGTTACACGGGATTACGATGAAGAGGAGCAAGGGTATGACAGCGAGAAAGAGAAGAAGGAGGAGAAGAAGCCGCCAGAGCCAGGTTCCCCTAAAACAAAAGAATGCTCTGTGGAGAAGGGAACTGGTGATTCACTAAGAGAATCTAAGGTGAATGGGGATGATCATCATGAGGAGGACATGGATATGAGTGACTGAATGTTGCCCCCATGGGAGTCCAACTGTATACATGCATCAGTGTCATTCCTTTGTGTGATTTCTTAATGCTGTATTTGTTCATCTCAAACCTGGATGTATACAGCTCTTGAGTTATAAATGGTTATAAAGCTCCTGATCTTGATATTAGTTATTTACATCCAAAAGCTTTTAGAAAATGATACATGAGTAACCAGGTCTTGACATGGTGAAATCTGATTGAGTAACCAAGCAGTTTTACTATTCTGGTGCTGCTTCATAACAAAAATGAAAAGCTGCATGCATCTACAGCAGGCATGGATTGTTTATGTTGTATGATCTCCTTTATTAAGTAAGTTCACTTATAGTATTTCTAGAATTTGATTCATTGCCGTAATAGAGCCATGTAGGGAATGCACTGATTGCATGTTAATTGTGGCAGGAATATCCTAAATGTCATTAAAATCCTCCAACATGATGGACCCACTTATGGTCTTGTTTGTTGACATGACAGATTAACATTCTTATAGTTACATCTGAAAATGAACATTTGAAATAGATAATCCTTTAAGCCTTGTGGCTAAATTTTTGTGGCTTTTGTTTAACTTTGAAAGGTTATATATGCACTAACCTTTTTTGATGGCTGATTAGGCTTTAATTACAGAAACAAGATTTCAAATGAAACTGTCTTTGGCAGTGAGTAAATAGCGTATTTTGAAGTAGAGTTGTATACTTTTTCATAAGGTGTTTGGGAATTTTTTTTCCTGAAATAATTTATTCCACATCTACATCAGTGAAAGCTTCTGCCTATCCTGAGTCCATCTGTAAAAGAAAGTTATCTCTCGTCCTGATTTTCAATTTTCCACTCTTTTATTAATTTGTTTTAATCTCAGTGTTGGAAAAGGGGTAGTGCATTTTAAATTGACCTTCATATGCTTTTAAAATAAGACAAATCTACTTGATAATGTACTTTTTATTTGATCTCAAGTTGTATAAAACCAATAAATTTGTGTTACTGTTACTGCAGTAGTAATCTTATGCACACAGTGATTCCATGTTAAATACAAAGTAGTTAGGCAACTGTTTTCTTAGTTACAGGAGTTTCAAGCTTCACTTTTGTGCAGTATAAACAAAAGTAGGCTACAGTCTGTGCCATGTTGATGTACAGTTTCTGAAATTGTTTTACAAGACTTTGATAATAAAACCCTTAAACTTATGTTCATGTTCCTGTAAAACTGTATTTGTATTTATTTACACTATTGAATGTATGACATTTACCTCATTCATTTTACAAATCAAGATCTTTCCCCTTTCAATCCACATACTTAAGTATAGTAATAAGATGAAATCCATCACTGTAGCAATTAGTTGCCATCAGAATTGTCAAAGTTGGCTTTATTTCTATCTAAAGCAGTTTTAGTGTAATTTTATTTCACATATTCTGGGTATAGGAATTGGGTTGAGTAAAGCAGTGAACTTTAGGATAAATGATCCCACCTATACCTGGTAAATTAATATTTTCAGTGAAATATAAATATTTGCCTTTTCTGGAATAGTAATAGAAACTGTCCATGGTATGTATCTACTGTACAGTACTAAATAGTATATTTATTCATTTATGAAATATTCTTGAGTAGTGTTTGAGTGGCTGGCACTATGGGGAAAATGAGACTTGGAATTGTAGGTTTTATGCAAGTTTGAGTATAATTTTTTTTAACTTTTAAAAGTTGAAATGCCATATAGAAAAGCAGCATTGTTTTTACAGTTTGTAGTAACTTTTTAAAGATTTTATCAAAAGGAATTTTGTCTATAGTGAGTAAGAAGTTCTAGTAATAGTCCTCTATTAATCATTGCATTTTTTTAAACACAAAATTGAACACAAATGACATTTGTTTAAACTTTTGGAAACTTTTTTGGTAGATAAAGGTTGAACCATATGACATTGCCATTTTTTTAAGTGAAAAAACTAGTAAAAATATTGGCAGTTTCACATGGTTAAACCTACTATTAAAACCTATTCCCTCACTTGTAATCGCTGCATACAAATATACTAACTTTCCAAAAGCAGTTAAATTTTTGGCTTTAAAATGTCACTGACTTAAGATGTTAACATCGAAGGGAATCCACCTTTAGGTTATTTTTCAGTGAACATTTTATGCACAAAGGTAGGGTTGCACTGGGACACAAACCTTTAACACATAATCAGTTAAAATCAAGTGAATACTGCCTCCACACTTGAGTTTTGTTCTGTATTTGGTAGTAAAAATGATTAAAAAATAAAAGTGGTTTTGTTAGAAAAATGTTTGTCCTATTTATTTACTTAAATTCTTCAGTAAATGAGAAGTAGTAGGCTGTATGAGAGTCTGATCATGAATTTTGGCTTCATTTCCAGGTGGGAGTCCTGTTTCTTACCTTCATTTTCCTGTCTAAAATGGGAGTAGTATCTACCTTGCCATGTGTTTTGGTAGTTAGAAAAAAATAATAAAGTAGCCCTGTATGCCTGGCTCAGTAAATGGTACCTGTCATTTGATTATGGAGCTTTCCAAAACTATATTTGGGGAAATGTTTTAGCAGAAGCTCTAAAATTGTGTGCAGATACGGCTTTGAGAAGGTATGTTTTCCTTTTTGTGAAGGTGGATTTTGGGTAAGCTTCCTGCTAGTGATTATATATTATATGGAACATAGAAAAAGGTTACGTGCTTGGGGGAAAGAGAATCAAACTGGACTTCCACCAGAACAGTAAAAATGTTCTTTAGCCTTGGTGTTGCATCTTAGAATTGAGTAAGGTTCTGTTGGTATCAGCAGGACACACCAACTTCTCTAGCAAAACTACCAATTTCTCCAGGTGGGCATCGGATTTATACTTAGGGGGCCATGCTGTTTGAAGATTGGTAGACATCTCTCAAACGGGAATTGAAATTATGTTGCTTTTGTCTCTAAGCTAATGAATCTCATCCCTGTTCTATATAAAATACTTACCTGTAATCAATCAATTACTTGTATTTATTTTAGCTAAATATGGATGTGGTAGAAATGCTACTGGTACTTTCAAGAGCATCCAGAATGTTTGTTATTAAGGCTTTGTTATCAGAAGCAGCTTTCTAAAAGACTAATCGGAGTTGTAGATTTTTGAGTCTGCTTTAGTTTAATTTTTGTTGCCATTTTCATTTTATAATGTCAAAGTCTGTGCAATGCATTCAGACATTCTTTAGCAAAATAACTCAGGTCTGAACCATGCTAATTTACCAGTGGGAATATTCGTAAGAATATACAAAGTGTTATAGTAGATGTAACTGGTAATCAAAGAATTCAGAGAGAAATCTGACAGAACTAATTCATTTCTAATGCTGTCCTTACAGAAATCAGGGAAGTGACATGTTCCTGTTCTTTTCAAAAGTATCACCATGTAAGGGTTTTTCCCCCCCAGTGCACTGTTGCTAAAATGAGTATCATGATGTCTTTTTTTAAAAAAGCTAGTTAGCTAATGTATGATTTGTGCATAGAAATTAAAGGTCTAGGGTTATATTTGGAATGTTCCAAATGATGCTTAATAATCACTTTTCAGTTACCTCAAGATACAATTTTATCGATATACCAAATGTAAAAACTGCCTCTTCATTTACTGTGAAAAAGTTAAAATTTGCTTAAATATCAAGTTTTGGAAGACAAGTATCGTGTAGGTTAAGAATTTCTTAAAAGTGTTCAAAGGAGCAGAATCACTAGAAACCAACCTGTATTACAGAGGTTTGACCTTAATTGTGAGGGCTGGCTAAGTACTCTGTTGTCTTTGTATCTGATGCTGGAGATTAAAGCCCACAGGCAGTCTACAAGGGAAGATGGGTAGATGAAAGAGTAAGAATAAGATGGAACCACAAACAAGAGTCAGAGCCCACGTGGATGGACTGAAACTTGAGTCAGGTCTTGTTTTCTTCTGACCTGGGTGGCAGGGGTGTCCTAAGGAAGCCAGGCCCCTTCGTCGTGAAGGTAAAGACACACTGGCCCATTAGTCTGAGAAGCTGAGGGAGGATCTAGGGGAAGGTGAGGCAGTTGTAGGCCCTGCTCCTGCCTCATCATCCCAACGGGGCCTGCAAAGAAGCCAGCCGCCAGCCACAGTGTGTATAAACCAAAATTTCCGCTTCCCTTCTGCCCTCCAAAATTCCTACACCACCCACATTCATTATTTAGACACCTCAGCCAGTCATTATTGGGCACCCTTGGTGACTAAGAACTCTGTGGGAGGTACAGATCATGTAAGTGGTGGGTTTTTTTGTTTTTATATTACACACAGTTTCTCCTACTCATTTTCACCTGCAAAACACAAATTCAGGAATGATTGTCAAGTGCCTTCCTTTAAAACCCTTAGGAGATTTTGCTTTGGTATTTATTAGGTGCTGTGGCAAATGTGAAATTCTAATTCTCTGTACCTTAGGTGCCACTGTGGCTGGAAGTACTATTCTAAACTGAGCTATAAACGTTTTAAAAGTTCATCACTGGGTACTATTAAGGATGGTCACATGATCTGAAAAATGTTAATGTTAATACGTGAGATGGTGGCCAAGGACACCTATTGCCCCAGACTTCTGACAGAAAATGCTTTGCACAAGGGTAGTTTTTGCTAATTGGTAGTATACAAATGATGGGCTTTTTAGCAAATTTAATTTTGCTGTCTTTACAAGGTGATTTACACTTCCCGTGCAATTATCTCAGGCGAGTTTCACTGTCAGTCATCTTTGAAACATCCCATAGTTTCAAATATAGCAATTTTGGTAAGGATGCATATTTTGCTAATTTTGCAAAACATGGTTAAGGTACCTTTTGCTAGAGTTAACAGTAGAGACATATTGTGCTCCATGCTAATCAATAACTGTCACTCAATTTTAAAGACGAGAATGCTAGTAGCAGGACTTATTCACCTAGTTTTCTACTACAAATTTTTCTCAAATGTTTGCAAATAAAAAATGAGCAGCGGGAAGCACTCCTTAACTCAGTATATCCTGAAAATATTTACTCCCCTTTTGCGGACTCAAAACAGGATCTTTGTCTGCCATAGAATTAGTGAAAACTGGGGAGAAGGCTCACTAAATAATCATTTACCATCACCCTCCCAGGTGTGAATAAACAATTGTACATGAATAACACTAGGAAAACCCATTTTTGTGTCAGTGAGTCTCAACACCAGTCCTAAGCAAAAGAAATTATAGCCGACGCTTGAACAACATGGATTTGAACTGTGCATCTCCACTTACATGCAGATTTTTTTCAATACACTACAGTACTGTAAATGTATTTTCTCAACGAGTCTCTTAACATTCATCTCTATTGTAAGAATATATAATACATATAATGTACAAAATATGTGTTCATCAACTTTATCAGTAAGGCTTCAACTCAACAGTAGGCTGTTAGTTGAGTTTGGCAGAAATCAAAAGTTAACATGGATTCTTGACTGGGGTGGGGTGGGGGGAGGTTGGTACCCCTAACCCCTACGTTGTTCAAGGGTCAGCTGTACGTAGTTTTTCAGCTTCTGTCGCCTATCAGCTTCTCTGAAATGTGTTAATTTCCAGACCATCATATGTACCTGTACTTAATCACAGCATCTGCTTTTTGCTCCCCTTTTATGAAATTTGACAGTTCGCTGTTATGAATGACTACAGACAGAGGCAAATTGTCTGCAGGGAAGAATTTTCTTGAAGATAAGAATCTTATCTTCTACTGATACGGTACTAGTGGCAGGAATATTGAGCACTTCTGAAGGGCCACTGAAGGTGACCATTGTACAGTCTCCCAAGTCTGAACAGTTTCTTCAATCACAAATGGAAAGTATATAAAATTTTATGGACTTATGCAAAATCTAAGTTCTCATGAGATTATCAAGATATATGGTGTTTTGATCTCCTTATGTGAAACACAGCATACACAGAGCTTCATTCATCGGTTGGATTAAAAGGCACATTTTGAAAAGTCTAATACTGTGAAAAGTTTATTTGCATTAATTAACTCCTTGTTTTCACCATCATAAGAGATACATTTGCTTGTCCTTTTTGATCAGATAAAAGACATTTTGGAATGGATAATCTATTCTTTACGAAAGAAAAAGATAAGAGTTAAAAACAATCCCAAGTGCAAAAGTTTTCAGTAGTCTTCCTACCTCCAGTGTACCCCAGCAAAATAGTCACAGCTTTTAGGAAACTGACAAATCCCAAGCTGCAATTTACCATGTTTTCTCCACTAAGTTGTCTGTACGTGTGAAAAAAATCTGCAGTGTATTCCTGGGAAGTATACCATATTCCCACAAAGTAAGGGAGCCTACGAGCAACAGTGATCACCGCCGTTCAGCGTCTCACACCTCAAATAATCAGCGACAGGATAATTCAATCTCCAAGTCACATGATCAACAAGCATTCCCAAAATAATAGGGATCAACTTCTATTCAATAAACCTAATCTGGGTTTACCAACTCTTCCACAAAATTCAACAGACCCACATACGGTAGTAATTGGTCTTTGAATTTTTAACTATGATTACTTCATTATAAAATGTATTTAATAAAATGCCAACATATGCAATGTAGTATGTTTCAGCATGGAAGATGCAGCTTTAAAGATGTTTATTATAAAATTTTCTTATGGTTGATGCTTTGGATTTTTAAATAAATCATCTCTTCAATAAAAGTCTCTAAATTCAAATTATTTAAAATTCTGGAAAAAGTTTAAACTATTGGTCATTCTACAAAATTTGACAGATGCATTTTGACACATTTATCAGGATACATTTAAAAAAAACAGTTCTTTAGCTAAGCTCTTTAATACAACATAACATTTTGTGACTGTTATACATTATTCTCCCTATTTTCAGTCTTGGACCTTCAAACCATTTTGGAATAAATATGAAAGATTTTAAATGCAAAAATGAGTAATGCATGATTTCACTTTGGAGATTAAAATCAATAAATATTTTTTTGTGACTTAAAAAAATAAACAGTAGGAACTGTCAATCCTGTGTACATTTCTGGAATTTAGCTTGTAACAAATATATTCTGTTAGCATATAAAATGTTTTTACCTTACTTTGAAAGCATTAAATATGTAGGGATGTCCAAAATATGTGGGTTGCTTTTTTAAAACTGACATGAATGCATCCATATTCCATTAAAAACAAACAAAATAATCAGAATGATGTGCACTTACTAGGAAGCAAGTTTAAAAATTTGGAGTTTTTTAAAGTGCTGAGATTTGGAAGAGGAATATCTTTAAGCATGCTAACCATACCTTATCATGAACACAAAAAGGAC